GGCTCGTGCTGTAGCGTATGACCGGCGTCCGGCGCTAGATGTAAATTAGCGGCTCTCTGTGCGAGTACCGAGAGTATCGAGTAGAGCGGAGGAGCGAAGCTCCGGAAAGTACTTGTAATTACGTCACCGATGTAATTAGTCCTACTTTATCATATTTCTCCAAATATAATTGTTCTTATTATTACGCTCTCGCGTAGTTTATTTTTGTGGCCTATCTCTCTCGCACTCCGACAAATTTCCCACACCTCTTGCGACCCACCCCCTGCCATCGCGAATAGGTTACGGGCAAAAGTAAGAAGATTTCGAAAAGAGTGGCACGCTCTCTCGTGCCTGGCGCCCAACTTAGTAATAAAATTTTATGGTTTTATTTTGACAATTTCGAGAGTTTTTATTATATTTATTTTAGTAATAAAAATTACAATCTTGTCCGAAAAACTGCCTGGCTGTCGCAAAATTCAATTACCGAGGGAAAGGAGATACTTTTGCGTACGAGGAGTACGAAGAACACGCGACGAAGTTGTGCCGTTGCTCGCGAGTACGGTTACAATATATATATATATATATATTTAAACAAATATGGTTCATTCCACGTCAACTGAGACAGAGCGGTGCCCAAAATGTGTTATGACCAAAAAAATCGTTTCAGGGCTCGAAATGTTCGTAATCGCATGTACTTTCGAAGAGCATATGTCGTTTTCAGAAAATTCAAAATGGCGGTTAATAAGGAGCCCATAACCCCATTGATTATCAGATTTCGTGCAGAAAATGGCTATTCTAAAACTCAAAATTTTAATTATATAAAATTTTGAGTATGTAGAAAGCTCTCTGCGTTTACCAGGGTTGAGACTGTCTTCAATATCAATGTTCGAAGCCCGCGTTACTTTCTTTTTTTATTTTATTATTTCTTTTTAAGTTTTAAAATTTTATTTCTATTATGTTATTCGTTTGTTTGTCTATAATAAGATTATGTAAAATGTACCTACAATTCAGTCTAGTATTGAACAACTTTAAATGCCTCATTGTCGTTTGAAGAATGACTGAAAAATGCAGTCATCGATAAACTTTAAAAATATCCATTTACGGATTTAGAATAGTCAGATGTCTGGAAAAGTGTTATTTTTTATCTTATAGTATTTTGTTTACATGCTATTTGCATAATTTAATGAGAACCAATTAGATAAATGCAGAAGCGAAGAAACAATTACAGAGACACATCTTAGTATAAAAGAAGTATTTAAAATACTTCTAAAAGGGAGGGCCGAGTCCGAAGCACTCGAACTCCTCCGAATAGGTCTTCATGTTTCCAAAGTTCGCCGCTAGGCGATCCCCCCGTAACAAACATTCAGCTAGGACACGCGTTTACTGTTCAGAAAAATAATCAGTTAAAAGTTTTCAGATATTCAAACGCCAATGAGGCACTTGCAGTTGTTCAATATTAAACGTTACAAAATCGTACGTTTTACATCATCTTATTCTAGATAATCAAATGAATAATATAATAGAAATAAAATAAAAAAAAACAAAAAAATAATAAAATTTTAAAAAATTAAAAAAGAATTAATAAAACTAAAATAAAAAAAAAGAAAGTAACGCGGGCTTCGAACATTGATATTGAAGACAGTCTCAACCCTGGTAAACGCAGAGAGCTTTCTACATACTCAAAATTATTTATTACATACTGAAACGATTTTTTTGGTCGTAACACATTTTGGGCATCGCTCTGTCTCAGTTGACGTGGAATGTCCCATATATATATTTATATGGAAACATATATACATATATTGTATACAAACATATATACATATATATATATTTGTATACGAGTTAATAATGATACGTTGAAAATTTTTATAGTGATATAACGCTAATTAACGTAAAATCTTAAGTTGAGCAAGTCACATTTGAAAAGCAACTTTTTATCATTATGCAATATTTATTGAACAATACAATAACTAGTTTATCTCTTTATTGAATTTGATAAACTTCCGTATGTACTATACAGCTCCTATTATAAAGGTGTAGCCACAATAAAAGGAATAAGGAATTAAGAATAAAGAATAACGATTTTAATCTATCAGAAATCGGATACATCTGAATAGACGGTTTCTGATAGATTGAAATCGCTGTTTTTTATTCTTTTTTTTTATTTAATTCCATATTCTTCACATTGTGGCTAACATCCTAATACATATAACAAATCATTAATATTTATTTATTTGTCAATTTCATTTTTAGGTCGTCGAGGTGCTGGACGTTCCAGGGGCCTCTGGTATGTGCGGAGAACCCTAGCAAGCCTCCAGCAAAATGAAAGAGGAGCATATAGGGGAAGAGGAAGAGGAGGTAGAAGGGGGAGAGGAAGAGGAGGTAGAGGAAACACAGGAGGCAGAGGCATTAATTATAATGCCTCTAGAATTAATATAAAAAATATATACAATTATAAATACATAAATAAATAAAATTATAATAAAGTGCTATCATTAAAAATATCTTCCTTAAATGTTTATATGTTACATAATTCTTAAATAATCCTTAAATGTTTATATTTTAAAAAGAAAAAATTCATAAAAACACACGACGCAATAATCAGAGCGCAATTCAAATTGTACTGTAAAATTGTATATATAAAACTTTAACATAATATTTGAAGAGATGGGCATGTTCAATAATAAACAAAATATCCAAAGTGAAATATTCGAATATTACATTAAAGTTTATTACAATACGAATGTTGCGCTCTGATTACTGCACCATATTCTTATAAGTCTTTCTTTACTATATTTATAGAATTGTAGAAAAATATATAGAAAAATATTGTACAAACAAATTTTACATTGATATAAAGGAATTTGTAGATCGATAGTAAGATCCCATGCATAATGGAAGAAATATCAAGAATGAATATGACACATTACGCATAAGAGAAATATGAATAGAGATTAAACGTAATTCATAATGGATACAAATGATTGAGATGTGGGACACAAACAGTACGCAAAGTTTAATCTGTATTCATAATATTTTATTTCTAATATTTAATGTTTATTCCTGTTCTTAATATTTCTTCCATTGTACAATATAGTTCCCATTAAGTCGAGGACTTACAGTCGCGCGTCGAATCGAATGTAAGGAGAATAATCGACTGATTGGTCTATTTCTTTATGGCTTAGGGTTTAAAGCTCAAGTTTTATGCCTTAAAATCTCGTTGTAGACGCCGCTTTATATCGCGTTTTTAAATCTGAAACGTAATTAATCCGTTACACACATTCCATAAAAACTACATCAATAATAAACTAAAAGTCAGATGCTAGAAATTCACCAATCACCGTCGAATGTGAAAATAATAATCGACTATAACTGATCGATTTCTAGCTTCCGACTTTCGATTTATTACTAATGTACTTATTGTAGATTAGCGTTTAAACTTTGCTTTTTTCATAGTTTTATCATAAATAAATAATTAAGTTAATTAGTGGTAAACGTATCGGCTGAAACTATATTTTGACATAATTATTGAAATTATTCGTTTAAAGCAACAGTAAAAAAAATGATTCGACATGCATGGTATGCGAATCAAACTTATTCGATGAAAGATCGAGATTTTTAAAAGCAAATAAAATTTGTTTTCAAATTTGATATCATCTTTACATATATAATTGTATCTAAGATGACACCAATATAATTTTATTATGTACAAGAAGACTTTATTATGAACAAGGTTAGAACCCTTTATATTATGTTGTGTTAAAATAACTTTTGTTAGTCTATTGAAAAGCGAATCAGTATTTTTCCTACAGTTTTGTTGGTTTAAAAATACATACGCAATTAATTTTAATAATTAATATGAAAAAATGTTTTTCTTTTTTTGCCTAATATTCTTGCAGATCACGTTTACGAACACCCATATATAGCAGCCATGGACAACTATTAATAATTAATGTCTCGTAAAGTATCGCGTTTTGACATAATTTATATGTAATTTATACTATTCTAGGTTAATAAGAAAAATATACTATTACTACAATTTATTAAAAATTATGTGTAGAATGACTTTGCTCCTCATCCATACACGCCGATTGCCGAGCGGCCGAAATTGTCGAGAAAACCTTTTCGGCCGCTTGGAATAAGCGCGGTACGCGCGA